GGAGGCAGCCCATCCACGATTCTCTCTCCTCATTGATGTTTCTCTCTATCCCTCTCCCTTCTTCTCTCTGTAAAAATCAATAAAAATATTTTTAGCCCTAGCTGGTTTGGCTCAGTGGGTAGAACGTCGGCCTATGGACTGAAGGGTCCCAGGTTTGATTCCGGGTAAAGGCACATGCCTGGGTTGCAGGTTTGATCCCTGGTAGGGGACATGCAGGAGGCAGCCGATCAGCGATTCTCTCTCATCATTGATATTTCTCTCTCTCTCTCTCCCCCCTCTCCCTTTCTCTCTGAAATCAATAAAGATATATTACAAAAAATAAAAATATTTTTAAAAAGCCACAACCCACAAATCCTGGTAAGGACTAAAGAAACGCAACCCCTGCCCTAACCGGTTTGGCTCAATGGATAGAGCCTCGGCCTGAGGACTGAAAGGTCCCGGGTTCCATTCCGGTCAAGGGCATGTACCTTGGTTGCGGGCACATCCCCAGTGGGAGGTGTGCAGGAGGCAGCTGATTGATGTTTCTCTCCCATCGATGTTTCTAACTATCTCTCTCCCTTCCTCTCTGTAAAAAAATCAATAAAATATATTTTAAAAAAAAGAAACACAACCCCTAAAGACGGTGAAGTGGCCCGGCCAGTGTTGCCCAGTGGTTGAGCGTCAACCAGCCTGGCCGGTGTGGACCTATGAACCAGGTGGTAGCCGTTAGATTCCTGGTCAGGGCACAAGCCCCGGTGGCGGGCTCGATCCCCAGTGTGGGGTGTGGAGGAGGCAGCCGACCAACGATTCTCTCTCACCATCTCATCATTGATGTTTCTATCTCCCTCTCCCTTCCTCTCTGAAATCAATTAAAAAAAAATATATATATATATATATGACGGTGAAGTGAAAACCGAGAGGTAGGGAGAGGGTCGGAGTGTGCTGTCAGGGGAGCAAGGGGCGCAGGAGCTCGCCTTCCTGAGTGAAAGTGGGCCCCAGCGAACCGCACCAGCCGAAGGAATTTCGGTTCCGCCCCGACTCTCAGTCGGAGGAAGCCCTGGCCCCTCGCCCCGCCCCCAGGGAATTAGACTCTACCATTATGCCTCTCGGGGGTGAAGGTAATCGTGGACTATCCTCCAGAGCGAATCGGAGTTCTTTGCTAGAAAAAACATGATTATATATTATTTGAAGACTCGTATGTTCTTAGTTAATGTGCTTCCCTTCTGCCTGCTCGGCCCTCCATGCTTTCTGAAGAGCTCTAGGAGTCGGCCACACCCCCCCGGCTTTCCGCACTTGGTACAGTCCCGCGCGGTACGTGGGCGGGCGGCGTACATAAGCCTCGACGCAGGCGGCGGGGCGCTCAGTCCTCGCGGCGTCGGCGGTGTGGGAGTTTTGTGGCGTGTCGGGCTGAGTGCGCGTGCGCCGACATGGCCTCAAACGGTATGTAAGAGCGCGAGGCGGCGGCGGCGCGCCGACCCGGGCTCCTTCACTCCCAGCGGGGCTTTTGTCTTTCGGTGGGACCGGGGCGGTGATCGCGTGTAGGATCTGGTACCTCTGTGGCGGGAAGCAGCATCGAAGGGTGGAGGGGGAAGCCGAGGTCGCCATCTTGTTTCTCTGCTCCGATGCCTGGCGCGGGGCGGGCGGTCTCCCATTCGCAGTCCTGTTCCCTGAGGTGAGGGCTGGGAGGCACGATTCTTGGTGAGGTGAAATGTGAGGTACGGATGGAAACGCTCGGCTCCCGGTGCCCCTTTCCCCCGCTTCCCGGCCCTGCGCGCGGGCCGCTTTGTCGCAGTGCTGCATCCGGGCACTCGGTGCGCGCACGCGCCCTGCCGGCCCCTCCCCCCCATTTCGCGGCGCGAAGCCCCCTCCCGCCTCTTTTTGGCTCTTTTTGTCGCGAGACCCTCTGTTGGCTAAAGGCTGCGCGGTGCCCGTCCCGCATGGACCTCGGTCCCCCCACCCTCCCACGGGTCCCTCGGGAAGGGGCGGGACCACCCCATTCCCTCTTGGGTTGCCACGCGGCGCGGGGCCGAGGCTCGGGCTCCCGGGCCGCGTGCCGGCTTAACGGTTGGCGGGTGGCGGTGGTTCCTGAGGGGTCGTCCTCCGGCCTTGGGACCGGGCCTGAGCGTGTTCCCGCCCAGATTTCCTCTCTCTGAGGTGGGGACGCCGAGGAGCGGCCGCCCCAGGCCACACCCTCTCCCGGTCCCTTTGCCCTCTTCCTGCGGGGGCAGCGTGCACTGTGCGGAGGAGCGGGGCTGATCCGGCTGGGCGCCCTCGGAGTGGCGTTTTAAAGGCGCTTTCACTACTTTTGGTTCTCGCGTCCCCCCCCTCAGCTCCGGGGAGGGCAGGGGGGTGAGAGAGCGGGCCCAGTGGACTTGTCTCCCGAGCCAGCCCTGGGGTGGTGGTCTCTGTCCTCTGGGGTCAGGTCTCCTGCTCCCTGGCTTTGCATGAACAGCCCACGCCCCAGCCTTCAGGTTGTGCAAAGGGTGGTGGCCCCTTTGGAGACGTGCTGGTTCTGTTAGTTTTGTTCTTTGGTTGAGAGCGGCCACATCCGAACACGGCTGCCTCCTGCTTGCAGCTGTAATTGAAACCCTGCCTCTCGCATCGCCCAGACCTCAGCTTGACTCCTGGTGACACCTCCCTCCTGGGGTGGGCGTGCGAAGGAGGTGGGTGTAGGTTTGTGCGGTTCAGCTCTTGGTATTTCCATCCAGAAAGGTCTCTGTAGAAATTTGCTTTTTCTTTATTGTGTCCTGCTTTCTGAGGGATGGCTGCAAGTGATGTAATTGTATTTTTCTTTTGCAGACTATACCCAGCAAGCAACCCAAAGGTGAGTGTCGTTTCTGGGCTTCCAGAGTTTTCAGAGGGCGGGAGTTGCTATGTTTTCCTGATTGCTGGTTTTCCCCCTTTCCCCCTCTCCAGCTACGGGGCCTACCCCACCCAGCCTGGGCAGGGCTATTCCCAGCAGAGCAGCCAGCCCTATGGACAGCAGAGTTACGGTGGCTACAGCCAGTCTGGGGACACCTCAGGCTATGGCCAGAGCACCTATGGTTCTTACGGACAGACCCAGAACAGTGAGTCCTCTTCCTGCTCCTTCTCAATGTTGCTTTTCTTAACCCCTGGGCAGTGCTAAAATGTTGAAACTGTCCCGGGTTTCTTTTCCCTTATCTAACCCTTAAAACTCTTTGGAGTCTGAGTCCTTTCAAACAAAAATAATCATCGGTTTGTAATTGTTTCCTTTTATTTTTTTACTTTTCTATTTGTGCTGCACTTTTCCCTATTTCCCCTCAGCATGAAAGTGAAATGTGTGTGGGGGCGGGGGGGGAAGTATTCACTAAAGGGGAGAAAGTTTTAGGCTTTTAATACTTATAGGGAGAAAATGATTTACCTGAAGATGTTTGAAATTAGACTATTAAATGTCACATGCTACAGTGAGAGGTGAAATTTTCCCTGAAGTATAAATAATATGGATTGTCCTACTTGTGCAAACCCATGAGCGGGTTGAAACGATGTCAGTGAGTAGGGATATCGGATTGTGGTTAGTGGTGGTCCTGGAGACTGGCTTTGGGATTGGAACTCTGAAGTTGGTAGAAGTTGGAACATTAGCCTTAGGGTAGAAGAGAAGGGTACCTTTTTTTGACTGATTTGCACAATTTCTAAGCAGCTTCTAAGAGGCTGACTTTTAAAATATGGTAGCATAGGTAATATGTAAGGCTTTTTCCCATCATTCTTTGCTTTTTCTTTTTCCTCTTAGCTTTTGTGACTTCCTTTCTCTTTTCCTTGTAGCAGGCTATGGCACCCAGTCAGCTCCCCAGGGTTATGGCTCAACCGGTGGCTATGGTGGTGGCCAGAGTTCTCAGTCGTCTTATGGGCAGCAGTCCTACCCCGGCTATGGCCAGCAGCCCGCTCCTAGCAGCACGTCGGGAAGGTAAGGAGTTGTGGAGAGGGGTGAATTGAGGAATGATGTGACCCCCAATAGGAGCAGTTATGAGGAGTAATGGGGAGTGTCTTTGTTGGATTTAGAGAATGGGGATGTACCAAAAGTGAATGGAAGTAATGGACATATTGGCATATGATTCTGTCTTTTTCCTTTTCCTTAGTTACGGTAGCAGTTCTCAGAGCAGCAACTATGGGCAGCCCCCGAGTGGGGGCTATGGTCAGCAGTCTGGCTATGGTGGACAGCAGCCTAGCTATGGACAGCAGCAAAGTTCCTATAATCCTCCTCAGGGCTATGGACAGCAGAACCAGTACAACAGTAGCAGTGGAGGTGGCGGAGGGGGTGGAGGAGGTGAGTGAGAAGGTGTCTTCAGTTTTGTCTCATATCTGTTTTCTATAAAGATTGATATTCTGCCTGGCCCTTGCCCTAAAAGGGTTCTTAAAGTCTTGATTTCTTATTCCCTGACTGTCTTGTCTTTTTTTTTTTTTTTTAAATATGTTTTTATTGATTTCAGAGAAGGAGGAAGAGGGAGAGAGAGAAACATCAATGAGAGAATCATTGATTGGCTGCTTCCTCACACCCCCAACTGGGGATTGATCCCGCAACCTGGGCATGTGCCCTGACTGGGAATTGAACTGTGACCTCCTGGTTCATAGGTTGACACTCAACCACTGAGCTACACTGGCTGGGCTGTCTTTATTTGTAGTCACTATTCCCTGGTTGGTTGAACTGTTTTATGTCATTTCACTGTTTTTTTATCCTCTTAAGGTATCTTTTCTTTCTGACAGGTAACTATGGCCAAGATCAGTCCTCCATGAGTGGTGGCAGCGGCGGTTATGGCAATCAGGACCAAAGTGGTGGTGGTGGCTACGGGGGAGGCCAGCAGGACCGTGGGGGACGAGGCCGGGGCGGTGGCGGTGGTTACAACCGCAGCAGTGGTGGCTATGAACCCAGAGGTCGTGGAGGCGGCCGTGGAGGCAGAGGCGGCATGGGGTAGGTGTCTTGTGAGCCAGGGAGTAACATCACTGGCGGGGGATGTGGTGGGTTGCATGAATTCAGTACCTTAGAGCATGGTTAGTCTTACTACAGGGATTTGTCATGGCTTTGATAGGGGGGCATAGACTTTATTCCTCCATCACATTTTATTTTTGTGAGAGCTTGGGAGCCTGAACCCACACCTCTGAGTATTGACACATTTCCAAAGGAAAAGGAAAAATACATGGGTGTGTATGGATTGGAGTCATTGATATCCTAGGCAGGAAACATGGAAGTAAAGGCTTCTTTCTCTGCAAGGGAAACCGATGATCCCACTCCTGGTAATAGGGAAACTTGTTACTTGTGTTCCCATGTGTCCTTTAAGGGAGTTGTTAACGGTGAATCTGACTTCAGCTTCCAGGATTTGACTACTCTTCCATATTCTGTAGTCATTTGAATCCATGAGCTTTATTGGCAGTAATTTGACTGACAGTGATGATTTTGTTTCTGACTTGCTTTGTGGGGTTATTGAAGTGTGCAGGCCATTTGGACAAAACACACTGGACAGTTGTATCCCACATATTTGTTCCACTGTCCCCTCCCCCTGGTTACCTGTCCAACTGGACCTTCCCTTCCCGCTGTAGTTGATTTGAAGTGAAACCTTCGATTTGATGTTAAAGCATGCGTCAAATCTGTTGGTAAATAGAAGGACCATACTCTTGTCTCCCTTGAAAAGGGGAGGAATGTCATCAGTGTTACTCCTTTTTTTTTCCTCTTTTTTTGGGGGGGAAAAAGGTTTTTAAAGTGAAAATTTATATATGGTAAGTATTCAGAGGGTGGGTGGGGGCAATCTCAAAAACTGTACAGAAATGAGGAAAACTCTATTGTGTGCGTGTGTTTAATGCAAAACTTTAAAAAGAAAAAACAACTGTTATGTGACTGTTAACTTGCTCTGCATTTTATGTGCCACAGGTATGAAAGGTGACAATGCAAAATACTCCGCTCTTCTCACAGTGTAGAAGGGGTGACCCCGGTGGTTGGGGGAAATAAAAAACGGCTCAGTAGTTAGGATAGGGTTTAGTTAGCTAAGTTTGTCTCGCTTTAAGGGGAAATTGCCTTTGGTTTTGACTTTTTATGGAATGGGGTTGGGTCTGCTTGCTGCTTTCAAAGCAAAAACCACAAGAATGTGTTCAGGGCTACCCCAGCCTGGTGTGAAATGTCTTCTGGGTAAATTGGGGGTAGGGTTTTTAAACCAACTACTCGGTTGTCAACCACTTGCTTGCAACAAGAGGAAAAAACATCTGCTACGTCGGAAGACCAACCAAGGAAAATGGGTCATTTTTTTTCCAGAGGAAATAGTTATAACCTTTTAAAGCAAAATTCTTAAAAAACTGTGTCTAAGAAATTTGCACACGTGTGTGTGACATGCTCAAAGGTCAGACAAGGGGTGGTCAGGAAGGGGCATGTATTTTAGTAGCCACTTGTATCTTTTTCCCAAAACACATACCCTTGTTTGGGGAATATTAAAACAAAAAAACACACAAAAAACGCCCGTTTGTAGCCGTTGGAAGCTTCATGTCCTTTCTTCTAACTTGTCTTCTCCAGCGGAAGTGATCGTGGTGGCTTCAATAAATTTGGTGGTAAGTGAACAGAGTTTCCAAAATTCCCAACTCTCCCAGCAATGCTTTGTCTGATTGTTCATTTGCCAGATGTCTTAGCGTGTTTTAAGTGTCAAAGGTTTTGAAGTGTCCAGAACCACCTCCAGAAAGGGGTGGGGTAGAATGCCACCTGCTGCCAGATGTGTGCTAACAAGGCAGGCAGGGGTAAGACTCGGCAGTCGACTTGCACCAAATTGGTTTGACTCAGGTCAATAGGTGTTTAATGAGTGTTGCCACACCTGGTACTTAGTGACCATGGCATTATGAAAAACTGGAGAGTGTGCTGGAACACGAACAAACTTGGCTCTAGGGTCCTTTTGATCAGTGTGTTTAGGGTGTGTGTATGTATGTATGTATGTATGTATATGTGTGTGTATGTGTAAAAGTTTAACCTCTAAGTGTTTTAATTCTGGAAGAGGGATGTGAAATACTGCCCTGAGAATGGTGAAGCTGGTATATACAGTATTTATATATTAAATACTGAATGGTGTCAATTCAATTCTACATATATGTATTTAAACAACTCAGATGGGCAAATAGAAACTAGCTGTGGAAAGGAAGGTGTGGACCACAAGAAAGGTTGGGAGCATGTGTGGCTCATGGGAAATAACCAGGTGTTAAACAGCACAAACTGAATTCATGAAAAATGGCAAATTTGAGAAGTCTGCCAGTAAGCTGGAACTTTTCTGGTTTGGTTCACAAAAGGTTTCTTGATTTGTCTCACCATTTAAAACCAAAGGCCCGGGTTCATAATTTTGGTGTCATTGAATGTGGGTACAGTGTGTATATATGGTGAATTCAGAGAAACTGGTCAAAGATGGTCTCTGGAAAAAAATAGGCTGCATTATGGAAACAAAGCTATTATATATGTTTTAAATTTTTTAAATTTTCATATGTGGTTTTGGGGAACAACATGGTTTTAAGAATGGTTTCTAAAGAAGAAATTAAAAATTGTTCCACAAGGAATAAGTGTCTTTGGTGTTAAAAAGTATGGAGAAACTGGATGGATGCATATCACATTGCTGGTGGTGAGCCCATTTCTCTCGGGGGTGAGAGAACAGGGCCAAGTTATGAGTTGGTTTGTTAACTTAAATGAGTTTCCCTTTTGGCCCCCCACCTCCCCCCAATCTGTGCTGAGGACATTTCCCAGCCTGAGCTGGGGGAGGCAGCATTTTCTGAAGTGTGCGGAGTTGTCCCTGTAGGGACTCAAGTTACATACAGATCTTAAGGGGCCTGTGTCTTCTTCCCCAGCCATGCCTTGGATTTTCTCTGGGGTTTGGAGTGAGACTGTGAGCACTTAACTGATATTTTGCAAGAGTTTGGATTTGTTTTTAAGTTTTTTCTTTGTCAGTCTCTACCTGTTGACTAACGGCTCCTCTTTCCTTGTTTTTTCTTTCCCCCCCATGTTACTTAAGGCCCTCGGGACCAAGGATCTCGTCATGACTCCGGTGAGTCCACAGGTGGCTAAAATGGTATCGGGACCTTTTCTGGATGTTCTTTGAGAAAGAGCCAGGGGTAGAGAAGGAAAAAGGAAGGGAAGGGAGGGACTTCAGGTGCAGCCATAGTGATTTATAAATAAACGTATCAGAAATAACATACAGTTTACCCCCCCAGCAATTTAGTAGGTCTGGGAGGAGCCCAATAACTAGTCTTGCATTTCTAACTAGTCTTAAGAGTGCTGATACATCTGTATGGTCCATGCACCTGAACTGCTGGTTTAAAGTCTAGGTTTTTAAGATGTGAATCATGACCAAATTAGTGAACACAAAAGACTCATATAGGGAAGCATTTAGTGTATCTTTGTTTTGATGATGCTTGTACTGGATTTGAGTGTAAAATAGGTTTTTTACCTTGAGGTCTCCAATTAGAGTTTTACAAACATTGGTGCACTTAATTGTGTGATCTTGGGCAGTTAATTTGAGCCCCAGTTTCTGTAATGGTTATTAGTATATTTGAAAGGATAGTTGTAGAACTAATTTTAAATTTTTGAAATGGGTACCATATAGGCACTCAAATAATAAAAAATAGAGATGTGTATTTTTTTTGTCTGATGTAAACCAAATTGTATTGGTTGTTTAAGAATTTTTTCCTTTGAAATATCAGGTTTTAGGTGAAGAGTTACTGACTCATTTTACCGTTGCTTGTTTTCTAATTCATGTTTTCTTCTGCATTACACAAACAGAACAGGATAATTCAGACAACAACACTATCTTCGTGCAAGGCCTGGGCGAGAATGTTACAATCGAGTCTGTGGCTGATTATTTCAAGCAGATTGGTATTATTAAGGTACTTGTGGAGCAGGGTGGTGCTTTCTATCTGTTTCAGACGTTTGGATTTCACACATTAGTAAAAATAAATGTCTTAATGGTTATAAACTTAATTTGATGAGGAAGGAGCATTTGCTGTTGATATTTTATAAAAGAAATAACACAAAGACAATTGATAAAAGGACTATTCTAGACTTTTGAATTTGTAAGCTACAAATTTATCTTTTTAACTAGAGGCCCTGTGTACAAATTCATGCACCAGTGGGGTCCCTCAGCTTGGCCTGTGGGATTGGGCCGAAACCAGCTCTCCAACATCCCCCGAGGGGTCCCAGATTGCGAGAGAGCACAGGCCAGACCGAGGGACCCCACCGGTGCACAATTGGGGATGGGGAGAGACACAGGAGGTTGGCCAGCCAGGGAGGGACCGAGTGAGGGCTCCAGGGCGTGTCCAACAGGTCTCCCTCAGTCCCGATCAGCTGGACCCCAGCAGAAAGCTAACCTACTAGTTAGAGCGTCTGCCCCCTGGTGGTCAGTGCACGTCATAGCAAGCAGTTGAGTGGCCTTAGCATATCTTTAGCATATTACAACGTTTGATTGGTTGAATGAAAGACTGGACACTTGGCATATTAAGCTTTTATTATATTGGATATGATTTGAGAGACAATGGGAGCCATTGATTTTCACTCGAGTTACATGTGAGATGGGAACTAGTAACTGGGAAGAGAGGAGCTGAAGTATGGTTACAATGAACCTCAGGTTCTGGAGGAGGAAGTTAGAAGGTTGGTAGAACTATTATGTCCTGTAAGTCTGATGTTATCTCATGTTGCCTTTTTCAGACAAATAAGAAAACAGGACAGCCCATGATTAATCTGTACACAGACAGGGAAACGGGCAAGCTGAAGGGAGAGGCAACGGTATCATTTGATGACCCACCTTCTGCTAAAGCAGCTATTGACTGGTTTGACGGTATGTATGAGGAGGCTGGTGTCAGTGGGGAGATCGGGCAAGCAAGCCTTGGGAAACGGACTACGTTTTGAGTCTGTCAACATTTGCTCTGACTTCAAGTAGTCTTTATTTTTGCTTATATCTCTTTAGATTATAAGCCTTTTCAGGAAGGCAGAGTCTTACCTTGTTGATTGTATCTAGTGTTCTTTTCCAAGCATGTCAAATGAGGCATCCGGCTCACTGGCCGTGAGTTTGACATGCTTGTTTTAGACTCAGGTCTTAATAAAAAGTCGTCGTCGTCCCCCCCGCCCCCCCTTTTGGAATATGTTTTTATTGATTTTACAGAGAGGACGGGAGAGTGATAGGGAGAGAAAATCATTGATCGACTGCTTCCTGCACACCCTGTATTGGGGATCAAGCCGCAACCCGGCACTTGCACTGCCTGGGGAATCGAACCATGACCTGGTTTGTTGGTTCGAAGCTCAACCACTTAGCCACACCGGTCAGGCAAAAGCAAAAGCCTCCTTTTTATACCTTCTTTATTTCTTTAGGTAAAGAATTCTCTGGGAATCCTATCAAGGTTTCATTTGCTACTCGGCGTGCAGATTTCAATCGAGGTGGTGGCAATGGTCGTGGAGGCCGAGGGCGAGGAGGTGAGGAGTTATTTCCTGACGCTAGTGTAAAGAGGTGATGGGAAGAGGGGGGAGCATCGTGAGGGCTTGCATAGAAAAGAAGGTTAGATTAACTAAACATGGAAGGGGGCCAGACCCATATTTGAATCTACACTAGGACCCATGGGCCGTGGAGGCTATGGAGGTGGTGGCAGTGGTGGCGGTGGCCGAGGAGGATTCCCAAGTGGAGGTGGTGGCGGTGGAGGACAGCAGCGAGCTGGGGACTGGAAGTGTCCTAATCCGTGAGTGAAACTTTTTTCTGTCTTACACGTGTGTCCTTTGATGTTACGGTAGAGTTGTGTGTTTTCCAAACTAGTAAAGTCAGGGCTGCAGTGATAGGGACAGACATGGCCAAGAGCTTACCTCCTAGGTAAGGTAACTGTAGTGGGAAAGGTATTGGACTGGGTTCACTAATTTGCAGTTTTTGTTCCTGTGTCTGAAAAGCAAGCCTTTTACCTTTTTTGAGGCCTCAGGGTTCAATTTTCTCTCTGTAAAGTCACTGGAATCTGAGTCTATTTCTAATTCTATGTCTTGCCCTACTCTCCACCCCTACAAATTAATTGTTCCTTTTCCTCAGTACATGCGAGAACATGAACTTCTCTTGGAGGAATGAATGCAACCAGTGTAAGGCCCCTAAACCAGATGGCCCAGGAGGGGGACCAGGAGGCTCTCACATGGGTAAGAAAAAGGCAGAGCAGGTAACAAGAATTTGGGACCAAAAAGCCCTTAATTTTTTGGGGGGTGGGGGTGGGGAGAAAAAGGGAG